ATGGATGAATGATACACTGTAGTGTAAAGCGCTTTGGAGTCCTTACTCTGAGAGGCGCTACACAAGTGCGGGTCATTTATCATTATAAACTATGGTTGCAACTAACGATAATTTTAATAGTGGACTAGTCACGACTATTGAAACGATTAGTCGACTGATCAGATAATTATTACATTTGTCTTAAGTTTAGCATGAGATTGCTTTAATTGTGTGAAAAATGATAATAAAGACAACAAAGATGGGTACTTCAATGGAAAATGCATATTTTATTGAACTTTGCTGCTGATAGGCCGATTCATACTTTTGTCAAGCATCAGTCGGGCATAACATTAAATCTTTTTTATTAAAAGCAAAAATAAGTTTTAAAAATGTCCATCCAACACAAAACGTGTTGGCTTTGGTGTTATTTAAATCTCACCGAGGAGAGTCAGACTCCGTTTCATTCAATTGTCCGACGTGCTTTCTCGTTAAGTATTCGTGCATCACCGAGGTGCCGCCGTCATACGCGAGGACTGCTTTACAAATAATGCAGGTCATCTTTTTATTCACCGAATCCCGGCTAGAAAGCTCCCAATGTTTAGATGTTTTGGTACGCGTAGCTGCGGTGATGGACGCCGCCATTTCTGTTAGCTGGCGCTCAGCAGAGAAGCTATTGCGCACGTGCGACTCTTGGCAGAGATTGGAATGAAGTGAGACGCCTCACTCGGTCGGTAAAAACACGTCTGGCGACAACGTCGACAATGAAATTCATTGTCGACTCTTTCTATTGTCGATATTTGTTGACAAAGTCGATGAATTGTTGCAGCCCTACTATAAACACTCCAAATAAGAATAAAAACATCCATCTGTTTTCTGTCAGTGTGTAGCTTTAGGAATGATGTCAAAGTGAGGAGTTTGAAGTCCCTTATTGTGATGTCACAAAAAGGAGGACTAGCATAGAAACCCCTCCCCCCCACCTATCCAGGCTGGAGGAGCAGCAGCTCTACTCCAAGCCCCTCCTCACCCTATAGTAGCCAATTAGGGGAGGGGTGGGTGTGGCCTACAGCAGAGCTGTTCATGAGGTATCGGTACCAGTACCATTAAAACCAGAACCTGTACATCTTCATAAATGATTGGAACATTACAAATGATACAGCTGGATCCGTCAGTTGAATCATCAAGTCAGGACGCCTCCCTGGTGAGGTTTTCCCGGCGCATCCAACCGGGAGGAGACCTAAAGGAAGATCATGGACACACTGGTGGAACTGTCTCTTGGCTGGCCAGGGAACACCTTGGGATTCTCCCAGAGGAGCTAGCCCAAGTAGCTGGGGAGAGGGAAGTCTGGGCGCCCCTCCCTGCTTAGGCTGCTGCCCCCGTGACCCGACTCGGGATAAGCGGGAGAGGATGGATGGATCTGTCCGTAAGTTTGTTGGATTTGTAATCCGATGTATCTTTAAAAATTAGGATCATTGATCCAAAACCAACTTTATGATGAAAAAAATCATAAATCATTCAGAAAAACAGATTTGTTATTCTGTTTGAACCGCAGCGCGTCCAGTCCGATGGAATGACCTGTGTTCATCACGGGTCGGTTCTGATCCACTTAGCTCATCATGGCTTGCTTTACCGATCACGGGTCGGTTCTGATCCACTTAGCTCATCATGGCTTGCTTTACCGATCACGGGTCGGTTCTGATCCACTTAGCTCATCATGGCTTGTTTTACCGATCACGGGTCGGTTCTGATCCACTTAGCTCATCATGGCTTGCTTTACCGATCACGGGTCGGTTCTGATCCACTTAGCTCATCATGGCTTGCTTTACCGATCACGGGTCGGTTCTGGTCCACTTAGCTCATCATGGCTTGCTTTACCGATCACGGGTCGGTTCTGGTCCACTTAGCTCATCATGGCTTGTTTTACCGATCACGGGTCGGTTCTGATTCTAAAGTTTTAGTAGAATTACGGTTGTGTAACCTGATTGTGTAACAGCATTTCAGATTAGCTCGAAAACACCAAATAAAAACATTCTGAAGGATTTTATTAGAAGTGGAACTAAAATGTTTTGTTTTATTTTGACTTTTTTTTTTTTTTTGGTTCTGATCCGATTCGTCTTTCGTATTCATCAAATTCTAGAGGAAACAACAGGAAATGAATCAGTTTCTGAAAACAAGACTGAGCTGTAGGGCAGAAACCAGCTGATTCTAACTGAACATCCAGATTTTAGACATTTCAGTAACAATAAACATCAAATCTGAAGGATTAGGATTAGGATTAGATCCTGATTCTACTTCCTGAAATCTGTCATCTTTGTCTTTGTTTTGTTGCTTTTGCTGATTCAGCCTGATGATTGGGTCTGGTCCTGATCAACCACAAGATTACGACCACCTCATGGACTCTGTCCTACAGCACCAGCGATGAAACAACCTCCTGCTAAAATGAGCCGAGTTTGATCTATTGGAATCAGAAGACGTGCACGCTCATCCTACCACGAGTTAAACTTCAGCTTTCCCAGAACAACAG